CCCTCTGCCTAATTTTACACCACAAATGTAGTATACTTAAATACATGGGAGGCAAAACACCCATGCTACACTGTAGAAATACATAGTAGTGGGTGCAACTTTTATCAAACCCAGAAGCTTCTCAAGTTTTATAGGGTTATGTTTTTTTGACAGGCATGCTGTGTAACCCAGGCTGGCCTCAAACAATCCTTTAACCTGAGTGCTAGAGTTACACCTGACTGAATTTAGTTTTTAATCATTGGAGATGGAACCTAGCGGTTCAAGCCACTGGGAGTAAATCTCACAGCATATATAGGTATTTTGTTTTATGCGTGAGTTGCTAAGAAATTCAGAACTGTTTTAGGCTTGCTCCATTGACAGCCCATTACAAAAGGTTTTTGTTGGTGTTTTTTGCTTTGGAGGACAGCTGTGAAAGAGTGTACATCAACATGCTAAGAAGTTCTTAACCAGAAAAAGAATATAGGAAAAAAATACAGGCGAAATATAGGAAAAAAGTATAGGCGATATGTCCTGGGCAACATAATTTGAGTGGCCAGAAGAAGCAGCAAGGAAATCCTGTCAGCTTGGTAATGCTGTACTGGTATGTCTGGTGGCTTGAAAAAGGTCTGATATCTAACACTTCTTGCTAATCATCTCAAATATAATGGCACAGTAAGTAGGCAAGAGATTGAGCTTGCAGCCTTTATTAGCATCAATCCATTCAGGAGGGTGCAACCCTCACCTCACATCTATAAGCAACCCCCCAACCTCAAAGATGAGATTTATTCAAGCCACAGCATTCTTACTTCCTAGACAGATAAGGACTCTTTATTGTGCTGTTTTCATGAATGGATTACTATTCCTTCAACTAAAATCTTCAAATCTCTTAGAGAAGCTGGAACATAACAAAACACACATTAATAGTATATATAGTGAACACCTTTCATACAGATTGAATTAACATTTTATTTACTTTGCACATTTTTTTAAAAAAGTACATATTCTCTGACTTATTCTTTTTTTTTTTTAATTTTTATTTATTTATTATATGTAAATACACTGTAGCTATCTTCAGACACCCCACAAGAGGGCATCAGATATCATTACAGATGGTTGTGGGCCACCATGTGGTTGCTGGGATTTGAACTCATGACCTCTGGAAGAACAGTCAGTGCTCTTAACCACTGAGCCAGCCCTACTTTACACATTTCACACTCATGTTTAACCCTAAAAGTATTTCAGCATGCATTTCACATGAACCCCATAATTATCAAAGTCAGAAAATTTAACATTGATACATTTTCATATATAACCCATATTAAGACTTCCATCAAGCATATGACTCATACCTGTAATCTCAGCATCTAGGAGGCTGAGAGACTCCTGGTTTGGAGCCAGGTTGGATTCCAGTTAGACCCTGTCTTGAAAACAGTAAAGGCAATCCCTTTGATCAGAGAATCAGACCACATGAGTCCTAAAGTAAACTCTAAATTCTTAAAATATGATTCAGAAGGTGGAGATTAGAAACAATGGTAGTGGTTTGTGAGGTAAAGAAAAAGTCCTTAAGCACTGAATGTAAAACTAGATCATTTTTTTGGGTGTTGAGGAATGGCCCTACACACAATTAGCAGACACACTCAACTAGAGTCCCCAGTCTTTTCATTATTTATCATTTTTAAACCCAATGATTTAATGTTTTTATGTGTGCCTGCATGTATGTATGTGCACCACATGTGTCCTGGAACTGGAATAAAGCCATCAATTTGGCTGCTGGGATCAAACCCAGTCTTCTGGAGGAGGAGCCAATGCAAATACTCTTAGCTGCTGAACCATCTGTCAGGTTCACACACAAGTTTCTCTGTGTAGCCCTCCTAGGATCTCTAAAGCAGGCTGGCATTGAACTCAAGATACCTGCCTGCCTCTGCCTCCAAAGTGCTGGAATTAAAGGCATTCAACACCACAAGCCTCCATTCACACTCCATTTTTAAAAATTATTCATTTGAGTCAGGGTCTCACACACTCCAGACTGCCCTTAAATTTATTCAGCAGCTTGGGCAGCCCTTGAACGAAAGATCCTCCTGCCTTTTTTTTTTTTTTTTTTTTTAAAGAATAGGGATTTTAGGCCTTCACCAGCCACAAAGGTACAATGTTTGTTTGAGATGGTAGTCTGTTTCCTGAGCTTGTCTCCAATTCCTGAACTTAACTGACCATCTCAATCCCAGAGCAGGTGTAACTAGCTACAGACCACACTAGGTGTAGCCAGAACTACAGGCATGCGCCACACTCCAGTGATACTGCTGAAATGCAGCTTTATTGTTCTCGCCAAGCAAGTGTTCCTCCACTGTATACACCCCAGTTCTATGCAAAAAAAAATCTATTGTGGGACTCTGGTTGGGACAGAAAAGCAACAACAAAAACACATCACTTAAAGACAACTTAGGAAAGGGTTGCAGATACAGAGCATTTAGGTGGTACAGTGTTTTCCAGCATCCTTAACACCCAGGGAAGACATTTTCATTTTACTAACAAATTGTTAACATTCAACCTCTGTGGCCAAATGCCTAGGTTTTTTCCATACTAAGCACCAGCTGGGTGTTCGGGTCAGTTCTAACACTACCTGGAGTTAGCACTAGATCCCACAAGTAAAGAACAGTCTCTAGACCTACCCCAGCTTTGGATGCCCATTAAGAGTTCCAGATTAAGACCTGTGCACCTGACAGATCTGGCTGGGTAGGATAACTTGCTGAGTGGCTCACAGAATTCAAGGCAACAGTTTATCCATTCCGAAGGCAATTGCAAAAGATACAGAATAACAGCTTGATGATACATGGAATAAGGTCAAGAAGGGTTCGGAGCCTCCTTGACATGTGTGTCCTCTGGTTCTTCCTGCTATAATGAATCCTGCAGATGAATCCACTACCTTTAAAAAGGTAGGCTTGCCCTAAAAGATCCCTCAATGTCTTCTTCCCCTCCTGCTGCAATACACTGAATTTTTTGTATCTCCTCATTTCAGAATTCTTGTCATACACTTTTGGAGTACCTAAAGTACTTAAATATTTGTGCAATTATTTTATCATATAAAATACGAAAAAAATCATCTGGGTTTAATGGTTCACACCTGTTATCCCATCTTTTGGAAGGCTGAGACATGAGTACTGTCGAGTTTGAAGTCTCAAACACATCAAAGTATAAAAATTACGAACGATTATAAACTCAACTAGAAGCCGGGTGATGGTGGTGCACGCCTTTAATCCCAACACTTGGGAGGCAGAGGCAGGTGGATTTCTGAGTTCGAGGCCAGCCTGGTCTACAGAGTGAGTTCCAGGACAGCCAGGGCTACACAGAAAAACCCTGTCTCGAAAAACCTAAAAAACCTCAACTAGACTGTCAACTCCATTAGGGTTACATTACTTACTCTGTTCAAGAAAACAGAAAACCTAGAAAAACGAGATCTAGTACTTGCTTCAAGGTCAAGTATTTGAATGCACGCAAGTGAAGCGAACGGAGACAGACAATTGGAAAGCTTAACTCATGAAAGTAAAAGTTCTAACGCTTTCAGCTTTCTCCCCACCTCCACGCTTAACAGTTAGGAACAAAACACGCATGCTCTCAGATACCTTGGGTCTCCAATCTCAGGCAACCCCCAAAAGTCCCAAGTCCAAAGTGAACCCATACTAGTTAGCACTTCTTCACCCTTCTTCACCCCTGCGCAGTCGATCGGCTCCAGGCTCGGCGAAGTTCCTGATCTCGGCCAGGATTCTGAACTTTTGTTCGCGAAGCCACGATGCACACAGCCCACCGCACTCGGTCAACGAGCGATAAAGTTGAACCTCGTTGAGACGTTTCCTCCACGCTTCTCTAACGCGGTTTACCTCACGCTCGTATGTACCTGTCAAAGAAACTAGACTTTGCGTTGCAGAGCTTCAGGTATTCATTCAAGTCAAAGAGGGAAGAAGGAAAGACAATGACCACTCTCTTTCTCTCTCTCTCTCGCCCTTTAAGAGACACCCCCATTCTAGCCCTTAGAAGCTGGGGAAAATGCTCGCGAGAGCCACGGAATTCCGCC